TGATCTGTGATTGGTTGTAAGAAGGCAGGTACAGTGGTACCTCAGGTTAAGTATTTAATTCATTTCTGAGGTCCGTTCTTAACCTGAAACTGTTCTTAACCTTAAGCACCACTTTAGCTAATGAGGCGTGCTGCTGCTGCCGTGCCACCGGAGCACGCTTTCTGTTCTCATCCTGAAGCAAAGTTCTTTACCCGGGGTACTATTTCTGGGTTAGTGGAGTCTGTAACCTGAAGCGTATGTAACCCGAGGTACCACTGTAAAGGTAAAGGGACCCCTGACCATTAGGTCCAGTCGTGACCGACTCTGGGGTTGCGGTGCTCATCTCGCTTTATTGGCCGAGGGAGCAAGCGTACAGCTTCCGGGCATGTGGCCAGCATGACTAAGCCACTTCTGGCGAACCAGAGAAGCACACGGAAATGCCGTTTACCTTCCCACCGGAGCAGTACCTATTTATCTACTTGCACTTTGAGGTGCTTTCAAACTGCTAGGTTGGCAGGAGCTCACCCCATCACAGGGATTCGAACCACTGACCTTTTGATCAGCAAGTCCTAGGCTCTGTGGTTTAACCCACAGTGCCACCTGCGTCCAGGTAGGTGGGGCCTAACTGAGGGCAGGCTGAGATTGGTGGGGCAGTGCCCCATTTGCCCAAATGGACCAGTCCCTACTGCAAATGACACATTGCCAAATGTCCTCTGGCCAGCATCCATCAGTTTTGTTCAAGAGTCTCTATCTTGTATCACCGAGATACAAATAATCTGCAATATTCTGTTTTGAGGTGCAAATATGGCAGTGGGGAAGCCATGTAGTAGTGAAGAAGAAGAAAAAACATCCTAGAACGTCTGTGGTGCCTGGGGAAAATGGCAGCGGCAGCTCAGGTGTAACAAAAATTGTTTGGGTTGTGTGTTTTTTCTCCTGCTCCCATGTTCCAAATGAGTCTTTTAACACAGGCAGTTCTACTCTATGGGAGGATGAAAGGTTTCCATTTCCATTTGATCCTTTGCAAACATGATTGTTGGAACCTGAGTCATGTCATCTCAGCCAAGGATAAGACTATAATGGTTGTGGTGGGTGGAAATATATTGAATATATTCTCTTTCAATTAAAAGACGAAAAATGATTTCTACCAACAGTTTAACCCTGGGCATGACCTCCGCAGATTTCCCCATAGAGTGACTCTTATAGCATGCTTGTCATTTGCTCACAAAAATTAAATGTTGTTTTTGTTGTTTATGTTCCTATTTTTTAAAAATATAAAAAAAATAAAGTGAAAAATTGTACTAGGCTCTAGACACTTTTGGTAACCATGGTAATCGCATCAGAGCTCAGAAGAGCATCCCTTATTCAGACTTCATTCAGCAGTTCGCTTTAATAGACAGCATTTTTGTAATGAAGCCTGTTTATAGAGCTGCCTCCAAATTTCACGTATTGTAAGATTCAGACGTTTCTATGCAAGCAAAAGAGTAGCAGAAAGTCAAACGAAGTAGCAAAGTTGTAGGGCATCTTGCTTCCATGCAGATGGTTCCGGATTCAATCTCCTTCATCTTGAAATAGGCCTGGGAGAGATCCCTGCCCCACCCTCACTGGCTGAGGATGGGCAGGATGATACCTGCGGCCCCCCAAGAGCATTCCACCAGCACCTATCTTCCCAAATGGATGCCACAGCCGTGCAGGTTTGGCTATCAGTTGATGTTTCACAAAGCTTATACAGAGTGAGGGGGATGCTACTGGCCTCCCTCTGAACTGGCTTTACAACAACACTGCTTGGTCCATCAGATCTAGTAAATAGTCTGGTAGAATGCCACTCACTCTCGGGGCGCCAACCCAAGCTGTAAATTATTCCCTTCCCAACACTTACCAAATGCAAACAGTTGTGCCAATCAGAAGCCACTTAGCGCTGCTGTCTAATTGAATTCTTTGCTTTGCTGAAGCCCAATGTTAATAACGGTTGTCATGATAAACCAAAGGAATAAAGCTTGTCGAAAGGAAAGGGAGTGTGCCTCTGGGAGTGAAGTCAAATCACTGGAGAATCACAGTGCAAGCTGTGGCTGCAGAGACCAGTAACTAATATTTATTTATTTATTTATTTATTTATTTATTTATTTATTCATTCATTCATTCATTCATTCATTCATTCCCTGTCCATCTGGAGGGGTTTCCCCAGCCACTCTGGGCAGCTCCCAACAGAAGATTGAAAACACGATAAAACATCAGACTTTAACAACTTCCCTAAACAGGGCTGCCTTCAGATGTCTTCTAAAAGTCAGATAGTTGTCTATTTCCTTGACATTTGACGGGAGGGCATTCCACAGGGTGGGCGCCACTACCGAGAAGGCCCTCTGCCTGGTTCCCTCACTTCTCACAGGGAGAGAACCGCCAGAAGGCCCTCGGAGCTGGACCTCAATGTCCGGGAAGAACGATGGGGGTGGAGATGCTCCTTCAGGTATACTGGGCAGAGACCATTTAGTGCTTTGAAGGTCAGCACCAGCACTTTGAATGGTGCTCAGAAACGTACTGGGAGCCTGTGTAGGTCTTTCAGGACCGGTGTTATAGGTTTTGTAACTTGTAACTCCTGCCTCCTGTGTTGCTTTTGCTGCATTAGCAACACCGAAATGAACTCTCTGGGGTGCAAGCCTGGACAGTGTGTATGGACTGCCCAGACAACAAGTCCCCCTTCTCAGCCTCTCTGATGTGGTCCAAAGGAAAGCAGAGCAATGCATTTGACACAAGCTTGGCTGCAGGAGTTGCCAGAAGGAGGCTTACAAGATGCCATCCAGCCATCTTAGAGACTGGGGTTGCCTCTTTAGTTTTTCTTCTCCTGAAAATATCCCACAAGGCATAGGCTAGCATGTGAACAATTGCTATTACGTACTTACAGTAGGTGAACCCATTCAATATGTTCCTGTTGCAGTTTAAAATAAATAAATGAATGTCTTAACAAAGGACGCCAGCTTACTTGTTCTTTTAAAGAATTAAAATATGCCTGCAAAAGGAGGTTATTAGCTGAAAGAAATCTTTGTTGACACTATGCGCCGAGCAAAGCAACAAAGCTCTGTCCTCAAATATAATGCAATGCAGAAAAACTTCCAAAAGTGTTTTATTGGTATTTTATATAAATGTTACAAGCCGGCATTATGTTTTAAGAGTCTATATCCCCTGCATGAATGCACACCAGATTAATTCCTGTTGCATTTATTATTCCTGAGGGCAACTAGGATAGTGAGTGAAAATAATATATTTTTTTAAAGCCTGTTATTGAAAGAACTGGTATTTTATGGGTCTGTGGATTGAGTGCTTGTGGTTTCTTCCTCTTCTGCTAACAATCTGCCCAGTATAACTCCTGAAATCACATTCTACTTAACAGACCTTTGTTTAAGGAAGACAAAGAGAAAGGTCTTCTGTTAATCTCAGATATCCAAGACCTCTGGATCCGCCTTTGACCTTGTTCTGCTCTTTGCGCAAATCCAGACAGTCGGCCATGGCATTTTGTCACCTCAGTGCCACAGAGACATGCAGGTTTGTACATTTGGCGACGTCTCACCAACCTAATCCAGAACGAGGGAAATGCTAATGGCCTCTGTCTGAACTAGCTTTATGACAACACTACAAAGCTAACCTTAATTAGTTTTCTGGTGTCGCCATGTAGCCATCAAAATGGAGGCCTCAAGGAACGGCCTCATTTTCAAACAATATAAAGATTGGTTGTCCCTCTCAAAGGACCTTTTATTTTGATATAGTTCATTTTGTTCATTGCTTCCGCCTTATCATTCCTTATTAAATTTGTATACTGCCCCATACCCGCAGTTCTCAGGGCTATTCTCAGGATAAAAATACTATATAAAACAACAAAATACATAATCAAAATAAAAACAAAAACAACCCAGTTAACACCCCCCCCACACACACACACTTTTAAATTGTTCAGCTGCTATTCCGGAACAATGTACTCATGAAACTGCATTTTATACTACCAGGAAAAAACCCTGCCATTTGTGAATGATCCTTAATGGATCACGCCACTGTTTTTATGCCATTTCCCTCTGATTGGCAGGGGCTGTCCTTTTGAGTTGGGTGCAGTTCTGAGGAGAAAGTGGCCCAGGATAGATGCCATGTTCTGATACCGAAACATCAGCAAGAACTTCCAGAAGGGACCCACAGAACTGCCAGGGCCTATGGGGCCAGAGACCGGACACTTGTGAGCATCTTCCCCTTGCGCTGAAGAACCAGGTGCCTCCCACTGTACATCATCGGTCCAGCAACTAGGAGGGAGGTTGTGGAATAAAGGAGGAGTGCCAAGAGCTGTTGGGTGCCCCTATTCCCCTCAGAGAGCTACAGTTGTTCAATGCAGAGTCTTCTTTATAAACAGAATAAAACTTTTCCTTGAGAAAATACAGTCATACCTCGGGTTACAGACACTTCAGGTTGTGTTTTTTAAAGTTAGGGACCCCCTGAAACGTGGAAGTACCGGAATGGGTTACTTCCGGGTTTCGGGGGTCACGCATGCTCAGAAGCACTAAACATAGCTGTCCACTTTTCCCTTTTCTTGAGAGGAATCCTATTAGGAATAAGGGAATTTCCCTTTTAAAAAAGGGAAACATTGACAGCTATGGCGCTAAATCGTGCTTTGCGCATGTGCAGAAGCGCAGAATCGCAATCCGCACATGCGCAGATGCACCGCTGTGGGTTGCGAACTCTGTGGTTTGTGAACGTGCTTCCCGCACGGATCCCGTTCACAATCTGAGCGTCCACTGTATACTTGTTCATAAACAGCATACACAGAGTGCTCTTAGTCTTCACAGAGGCACCAATCTTAGTTACTGACTAACTGGAGTCCTGAAGCCGCTCTGTCTGCAACAATACAGGAACACACTGTCGCTCTGAATGACAGACTCTGAACTGAAGACAGACTGAGGCCCAGAGAGATGGCTGGTTACATTTATAGGGAACCCAAGACGAGTCACGAGTCACAGTGACGTGGCAGTTTACTGCTAACAGCTAGCAGGCTTGAAATGATTGTGTAGGCCTTGCCTTACTGCTTCTGCTCTTATGAACTTTTGTCTCATGACAATTCCCACAGCTCCCTAGTAAGTAGTTTTTTTCTGTTAAACCACCCTAGGAATTGTAGATTTGTGAGGGGAAATAGGGGTCTCCTAGCAACTGACAGTACCCTTAACAAACTGCAGCTCCCTGGGTTATTTGGGGGAAGCCATGGCTGTCATTGGTGTAATGAAATGCCTACTGTTAAGTTGTGGGTGAACATATCAGACGACAGCGATTCTTGAAACAGCTCTGGTTTATTCACAGGCTAGAACAGAACTGAACTGAAGGGTTCAGCCAGCCTGCTTATATAGAGCTCCAGTACAACGCAACTGTAACAATTTTCTGTAACTATCCAATCACTGAACTGTTGATTTAAAGCAGAGTCTCGTGCCCAGCGGAAGGATGAGGAAAATGTGTTACATACTCCATATTGCTTTATTTACAGTTCAAAGCTGGTATATTACAGAAAGACATCTTGCTTCTGCCGAAGCAGAAAAATGCATCCTCTCTCCTCAACAGCCCGGAGAGAATCACAGAGTGAAAAACAGGAAACCAGTGTACGTCACATCCAGTCTCCCTTTCCCGTGAGAAACTCCAACAGTACAGACTGTGGAATGTAAACACCTGTCTCGTGACATGTAGAGCTGCACAGTGAAGGAAAGCAGAAACCAACATCCTCCCCCTTTCTGTGAACATCACTGGGCAGCGTGTTTGTACAATATCAGTACAAACCCAACTTCTGCACATAGGTACAGTGTTGATCCCTCGATACAATCTTGGACAATACATCAGCAGGAATTTCATTACCTGGCATATAGGACACCGTTACGAGTCCCTTCTGAATACATTCCCTAGCATGCTGCAACTTTAATTGCAAGTGCTTTGTGCTTTGCTTACAACCTTCAGACTTCAGCAAAGCCAAACATGCTTTGTTGTCCTGGTAAACCTGGATTGGACATTTGACAGGAATTTTCATATCTTTGCACAATTGTACTAACCATTCACAATCCTTAAGTGAATAAGACAGTGCATTCAGTTCAGCTTCACAAGTACTTAAGCTAACTGTTGTTTGCTTCTTGCATGACCAATCAAACAGACTCTGATTGTACATGTAGCAAACTCCAGACGTACTTTTCCTGTCTGTAGCGTCACTTCCAAAACTTGCATCTGCAAATATCTCAAGACCACCAGACTTCTGATTGTTAAATCTCAGTCTGTAATGCATAGTGCCTTTCAAATACCGCGCTATGCGTTTCAGAGCTTTCCAATCCTTGACACTAGGATTGTTGACTTGTCTGCTTAGCAAATTACAGCTAACAGCAATGTCTGGTCTTGAACATCTGGCAATGAAGTTTAGCTTGCCTAGCACACTCCTGTACAGTGTAGTGTCAGAAAATGCTTCTTCAGTGTCATCTACCTGATAACCTGTTGTCATCGGTGTGTCTACAGGGTTAGCATCCATCAGATTTAGTTTGCTTAACACATCAGCAATTTTCCGTGACTGGTGTACTAGAATGTTACCATCTTGATCTCTCTCTATTTCCAGAGATAGGTAGTTGTTTACCTCACCAAGATCTTTCATGTCAAAGTGCTCTTTCAGTTGAGCTAGGCGCTATTGTACATTGCAACATCTTTCCAAAAGAATAATAAATCATCAACATAAAACAAACAGTACAGTTTCTTTTGCCCCTCCTCTTGACAAATACACATGGATCAGCTTTCCTTGCTGAAAACCTAGAGAAAACAATACTTCAGTGAGTTTTGTGTGCCAACACCGTGCACTTTGTTTGAGACCATAAAGGGATTTCTTCAGAGCACAAACAAATCCCTGTTTTACCTGTACGCCATCAGGTGGAAGCATATAAAGTGATTCATCTAGAGATCCGTACAGAAAAGCTGTATTAATATCATGGTGACTAATGTGTAGATTTTCCTCTGCAGCTAGCTTAAGCATAAGCCTAATGCTTTCATATCTCACTGTGGGTGAATAGGTCTCGTGATAGTCTTCACCTGGTACCTGTGCAAAACCTCTGGCTACCAATCTGGCTTTGTGTCTGACTATCTTGCCATTTTGATCTGTCTTCGCTTTGAAGACCCATTTGCTTCCAAGCAGTTTCATTCCTGGAACTACTGGAACTAGCTCCCATGTTTTGTTCCTTTCTAAGGAATCAAGCTCAGCCTTCATGGCATTTAACCATGGCTCAGCTTCCTTTGAATCCAAACCCTGGATTTCTTGGAAACTTGAAGGTTCAAATACCTTCTTGGAGCTTTTAACAGCTGTTACTGCTATCTTAGCAAACTCATCAGCAAATCTCTTGGAGGTTTGCCTTTTGTGGCTCTCTGTGACCTACGAATTAGCCTTAAGTCTTCAACACTCTCCTCTTCCTTCTTAGGAGAAAAACGACCTATTGTGAACAATGGTTCCTCCAATTCTTGATCAGAGCTTTCAGAGGGTCGCATAGAGGCTTTCGCACTCTTGAAATCCTCTGAATCACCCGATTCAGTTTCAGATTCAGACTCAGAACCTTCATCAGTGGGTGTGGGCTGTTGTGGTTGCTTTTGACTATCCTCAGTCTCATCACCGTCATCAGGATAACATTGGAAAATTCCCACATTCTCCCCCACTTTGCATTGTACTCAACACTTCTCGTGAGCTTAATTGTCTTAGAGTCAGTCATCATTATTCTGTAAGACCCTTTCTGATAACCTAGAAAGATACCATGCAATCCACGCTTGTCTAACTTGGAGTTTTGTGGTGAGCGAACCCACATGTCAGAACCAAAATCTTCATGTGTTTGATGTATGGCTTCTGCCAAACATCTTCTCATAGGGGTACAACCAATCGCTGAAGATAACCTGCGATTGTAACTGTAAACAAAACACGAGAGAGATTCGGCCCAATAACTCTCTGGAAGATTGGCATCATGCAGCAAGGTTTTTAACCCTTGAAGCAATGTCTGATTTGCCTGCTCCGCAAGTCCATTCTGCCATGGCGAGCGAGGACTAGACAAATCGTGTTGAATTCCTTTCTCAGTCAGAAAAGCTTCAAACTGCTGAGAAGGGAATTCCCCCGCGATCACTGAAAAGAGTCTTTATCTTCTTACCATGCACATTTTCCAACCAAGCACAGAATTCCTTGAACCTAGGAAAAGCCTCCGATTTCTGCTTGAGATTGTACACAAAAATATATCTAGAAAATGCATCAATGAGAACCATGAAGTATCTATTTCCACCCAAAGAGGGCGCTAGTGGTCCAACCAAATCAGCATGAACAACCTGGTATGGTTCTGTAGCTTTCCTACTAGACACCTTACCTTTCGCAGCCATTTTCACCTTGCTTGCTGCGCATGCTTTGCACTTCATGTGGTACCTGCAGGGTTTAATAGTCATACCTTCAACCAAGGCAGGCATTTTAGATACTGCCTCAAAATGCAAATGACCAAATTTTCGATGAAAATCGTGAATACATTCTGCATGCAAACTTTTGTTAGAACCTGCAATGCAACAAGTGTCATCCTGCACCACATCATCATAATACAAAACAAACAAATGATCAACATATTCTGCATGCAATACATAATCATTTTTCTTTGTGATGATGCACTTCTTGTTCTTGAAGGAAACGTCAATGTTCCGCTCATTCAGCTGTCCAACGCTGAGCAGATTATGTTTGGCGTCTGGCACGTAAAGCACATTCTGTATCGATAAGTCCAAACTGTGAAGAACAACAGTTCCGTAGCCTTTACTGGGAATAGTGTGGTCATCCGCCTGGTGAATCGCACCTTCCTGCGGTGTAAAAGACACAAACAGTTTCTTATCGTTGCACATGTGGTGGGTGGCCGCTGAATCAACAACGAAGAAAGATCTAGACGTCTTCTGGACCTCTGCAACCTTTGGAGTGAAGCGTGAAACCATAGCCTTGTGCTGCGTTGTCCTAGACACCGGACCTTGCCTTTTCCTCGGCCTTTTCCGCGCGATGAGCTCGCTGCGCTGCTCTGTCTTGGCCCTGGGATGTCTGCATTCCCTCTTCATATGGCCTAGACGTCCACACGAGTAGCATTTCACTGCCTTCAAAGCTTTGGCGCCATCTGGTGGTTCCACTGCACTATGGGATGACGTCTGTGAAGACTCCCTTGCCCATGCAGCTAGCACCCCGGCGATCTGCTTCATTTAAAATCACGGCAGTAACAAAGTCCACTGTCAGCTGAGCAGTTGGTTGCACAGCAATCTGGGTTGCAACAGACTCCCAACCTGAACCCAAAGATTGTAGTATCATGAAAGAATACACAGCCTCTGGAAAGTTGAGTCCTCTCTGTTGCAGCTCATGTCTCAGATTTTGCATCTGCATCAGATGTAAACGCACATCTCCACCTTCAGCAAGAGCCATATTATGCAGCTTGTTAAAATAAAACATAGTGGATCCAGCTTCTGTCCTTAAGTGAGCCTCTCTCAGAGCGTCCCAAATTTCTCTGGCTGAGGTCTTATCACGCAATAGACAGAGCTCTTCTGGGGATACTATCAATGTAAGAGTTCCCCTTGCTTTGGAATCCTTAGCTTCCCATGCATCTGTAACTGGAACTGGGGGTTCCTGTAATCACCTCAAACAAACCCTCTTCCGCAGAATTGCCTCTGCATACTGAACCCAGTCGCTGTAATTTTTCTTGTTGAGCTTAGGAATCCCACAAGCATCCTGAAGGGCCATCATGACTCTGGCATTAGCCTTCAGCGTCATATGCTGCTTTAAATCTTGCTGCGTCACTGCTGCAGCTGCTTCATTACAAAGGCACACTTAAAAGTTACTTCGATTTCCCCAGCATAGTGACTTGTGCCTGGGAGCCTTTTGCCTATTCCCGGCAAAACCGGCTTTAAAAGTTCAAAGTCCAGCCATAAAGCCATTAACTTGAAGCTGGCAGGCTGCCCGGAGCAGTAGCACATACCTCATCAATCACTTCTACGCGCAGAGCAGATTCCTTTCCGATCCGTCCCTCTGCATTCCGATCCTTTGCCGGCACTCCGATTCGACCTCTGGAGCCCATAACCACGTGTTGATTTAAAGCAGAGTCTCGTGCCCAGCGGAAGGATGAGGAAAATGTGATACATACTCTATATTGCTTTATTTACAGTTCAAAGCTGGTATATTACAGAAAGACATCTTGCCTCTGCCGGAGCAGAAAATGCATCCTCTCTCCTCAACAGCTCGGAGAGAATCACACAGTGAAAAACAGGAAACCAGTGTACGTCACATCCAGTCTCCCTTTCCCGTGAGAAACTCCAACAGTACAGACTGTGGAATGTAAACACCTGTCTCGTGACATGTTAGCTGCACAGTGAAGGAAAGCAGAAACCAACATGAACATCACTTTCAATCCCTTATTTGTATATGTGGACCTGAGTGAAAACTATCTACAGTATCCCCCTGCTGGCCCAGGGTGAGAACTTCAGTACATAACACCTACAGAGGGTGGTGAATACAGCACAAGATATTATGGGCTGTCCCATGAATCCGCTGGATGAAATAGTGGAAGAACGTTGCCTCAGGAGAGTGAGGAAATTTTTTGGGGATGATTCACACCCTGGCCAGCAATTTCTTGATCTCCTGCCCTCAGGCAGAAGATATAGAGGCATGATTAGTTGTGCCAACAGGGTAAAGAACAGCTTATATCCGTGGGCTGTTAGACTGCTGAATGAAAATATAACAACAGGGTAACTGACTTTCAGGTTTGGTGGGTGTGCATCAGTAAATGAGAGGAATTAAGACTAAGAGAGCTGAGTGGGGGATGCTCGTGTAATCTCACAGTATACAAGTTGTACAAGTGACAATAAAGTATAAAGTATTTCATTCATATTGCTTTGAATATATTATGTGGATGAAGCCATAGTGATGCAGCGCCAGAAAATCCGTGGTTGAAATAATGCCTTTGCTGTGACATCACTTGATGGTCTTGCGGAATGCCCAATTTCCTGCCCACACCCGTTCTGCAATATAGAAGGGGAGGGAGTAACAATATTGACCCACCTTACAGGGTTGTTACCAATATTATTAAGATAATGTACAGTGGTGCCCCGCAAGACGAATGCCTCGCAAGACGAAAAACCCGCTAGACGAAAGGGTTTTCCGTTTTTCGATGCGCTTCGCAAGACAAATTTCCCTATGGCCTTGCTTCGCAAGACGAAAACGTCTTGCGAGTCTTGCGATTTTTTTCACTCCCCCCCTTTTTCTAAGCCGCTAAGCCGCTAATAGCCTTTAATAGCCGCTAAACAGCTAAACCGCTAATAGCACTAATCCGCTAAGCCGCTAATAGGGTTGCTTCGCAAGACGAAAAAACCGCTAGACGAAGAGACTCGCGGAACGGATTATTTTCGTCTTGCGAGGCACCACTGTATGTGGACTGCCGAGGCCCAAAGTATTACTGTTCATAATATCCAAGAGTGAACGGCAGAGGCTTATCATTACTGAAAGATTAACATCAGACCTTCAGTAGGGACGTTTGGGAAAATATATTAAGGCTTACGAGGCAGACTAGAGAGAGTGAAATAAGAAAACTAGACCGATATAATTTCTGATTTGTGCCCTTGTTTGATTGAATCGCATGTCTGTTTTGTGTAATCTACACGCCGTCGAACCAATTTATTGCTTTCCTCGCCTCCTTTGTTACATCATGCCGTATCAATTCGCTGCTTGGAAAATGAAAACAAAAAGAGAGAAGGGGGAAAGTGATTAATGTTGCATGGCAAAGGGAGTCCTCAAAAGGTTTTCTGATAAAAGGCAAAGTTGCGGGAGGGGGGGAAGCAAGGAAATGAGAAGAGAGAGGTGAGCTGGAGATGCCATCTGTCCTCCTTTACCTCAGCAAAGGTGTGTGCTATTCGTAGCATCATTAAGGTGGCCCCCCTTGAAGCCAAAGGGCTGGGGAGCATATGGTGCCTTTACCCACACCTGAAATGCTAATATCTTCTACAGCATTTATGGGATTTTTGCTCCTTGGATCCCAGTAACTCCTTCCTCTTCCGAGCGGCTTAGTTCATACATCTGGCTACTGACCCCACACAGCGGGGAGCCCGGTCGGCCGATGCAGCCCTTGGCAAGTAGAGAGGAGCACCAGGGCCAGGGCATGCTGGGGTCACCTGTGTGAGAGCACCTGTGCTGGTCCCGGGGGGGGGAGGTGTACCGTGCAGCGTGGTTTGAGTCCGGTCCTAGGTCGAGGGTATGGAGGCTGTCCGTCAAGGGCGAAGCGGGGTCCAAGGCAAGGAGCTGGGCGTGGTCAGGAACTCTGGAAGAGCAGGACAGGGTGCTGGCAGGAACAGGTTACCAACGATGTTGCTCCCGCAACCTGGGATTGGGTGGGCTGGCCTTTATCTCCTCTGAGGCATAGGGCGGTCCCGGCTCACAGGTGACTTGCCTCTCCTGGCCTGGAGATGAGCACTCCTCCTGCGAGAACTTAGTTCCCTCCACCTCTCTGCCCTGAGCCTCTGCAGCTCAGGAGAGGCTGGAGGGTTACTGGACCCAGAGGCAACCTCACCTTCCCCAACAGGGCTGATAGTGGAGCACCTGCAGGCAATGGGTCCCTGATCACCTCCGGAGCCAGAGCGGATTCAGCTGGTGTCTGCTCCTGAGGATCCGGCACTGGTGAGGGACCTTCAGGTTCAAGCCCCAGCCCCGGCTCAGCCGGTCCCGGAGGCGGGGACTCCTGTGCAGACTGGGGTTCCTCAGCTTCGGCCTCTGAATCCTATTCCCAGGCCATCACAGCGCCTGGCTCATGCCCCCTCAAAAATTGTGTCCTTCAAGCCACCGTGCTCCTGGCACCCCCACGCTATGCCCCTGCTGGCTATCCACCCACACAACCACCTCTGGAGTTCCAATATCACAAAACCGGGCACTGCTACGCAGGGCCTGTGCACTTGGCCGATATAATTTCTATATTTATTTCAGGGACTTTCTGGACGCCTTCATGGATTGGATTCATGGAGGATACGGTTAAAAATGGTCACTAGCCATGATGGCTATGCTCCTCCTCCACTAAACTATTAGATATATAATGCTGCATGTGCTATCAGGAAGAATGCTTAAGATACACGATTGATGGTTGACGATCAGGTTACAATCATCTCCAGATAAGGCTGAGAAAGACTACACTGAACTATGGAGATTCCCTGCTGATCAGTGGGTGGATGGATGGATGGATGGTCTGATTTGCATAAGGTCACTTCCTTCCTTCCTAATTTCAGATTGTGAGCTATTTGGTGCATGGGCCTGTCATCTTGTTACTCTGTTAAAAGCAAAGGAGAAGAAGCAGCCGTTCTTGAGGAAGTTCTCCTGCGGACTCCAGCATTTCCTCCAGAGGCTAATCCCTCATTTCTCAATCCCTGACCTTTGCAACATCTTCCTTAAGGGAACAGGAGCCAGTTGCCTGCACGGCACTTCATTTCCAGCGGCTGTTTTAATGAGGCGCTTGCTTATTACAAACAGGATATTGAACGCAGAGTTAATTTCAGCCCAACTACTTTCATTATGTAGCTCAGCTTGGGTTCGGCGTTAGAATGGCGCTCATGACTTTCTACGGAACACTGGAATGATGTTGTGGTACACAGACCCTCAAATCTAGTTGTATCACAAATGCAGCTGCTTATGTGAGTTTCTGTCTGCGATCCGTTTCTCGTGCCTTTCTTCCCTCGCGGCTTGGGGACAGTTAGAGGTTCTACATGAAACCGATGTTAAACGTGGGATGCCTCCCACTTAACCAATGTCAAATGTGGGGTGCAGGTTCATCTCCCACGAGGGGATAACCAATGGGAGAGCATAACAAACCACTATTACAGAAGTGGCATTTCTAAAGAAATTCAAAAGTGGCATAGGAAAGAGGCAGAAAAACTGATGCCTCCTTGGAAATGGAAGAAAACATCTGGAACTGCAGGATTGGTTTCAGCACAGCACAAATTCAGATGATGCTAAGTATAGCATTCTGTTGTGCCCTCATGACTAATATTCATTGATAGAGCAATTTTTCTGCCATGACATCAATTGCTTGTTAACAATAATTCGAGCTATTGACCACCACTGTATGTGGTGTGAAGTGTTGTCCTACTGGCAGCCATGCAAACTGCAGCATGACCAATGTTTTTATTAGAAAAGTTGGGTGCTTCCCCCTCTATATGTTGTAGCTGTTGTAGGTGTTTATTCACCTATTAACTCCTTCAGTCCATATGGAGGGAGTCCAGGTCTTACAGCAGGGCCATTTCAAGAGGGGCTTGTCCCCCACAGCAGTGCAGCCATGGAGTCCAAGGTGAAAGATTATCTTAAAGTACTTCCTATGTTTTGTTACCTGTGTCGTGTTCCCATCCATGTATACAACGTTCTCTTACTATGCCAATAAAGGAGATTGATTGAGTCCAAGGAATCTCTCTCAGCCAGCCTTCAGCCAGCCTGCTCAAAATGGATCCCAGTCCATTTTTCTTCTTTCTTCCCAGAACACCTTGCTAAAAACTCTCTTTTTCCTGTCACCTCACACCCAGTTACCCAGGCAACCTTCCAAATCCCCATCCTCTGTTCACACCTCAGGGCAAGGGGGTGAGGAGGAGTTCTCTGGCATTGTCAATGGCTCTCAATGGCCCTGTATTATTTCTGAATGGCCCTAGCTTGGCCAGGTCATTTTACATAGGCTGGCCCAGGAATTCCTTAACATGATCTCAGGATCCTTGTCCTCTACCAGGGATTTGAGACATTGAAGTACGGATTCATTTGGAGATTTTTGCATAGCAGGTTTAATAAATACTGAGCGTATATCCCTGTAGAAACGGCAGTGTAACAAGGCATGAGAGACAGTTGTTGTTGTTGTTGTTGTTGTTGTTGTTGTTGTTGTTGTTGTTGTTTTCTTATCTGGGGCAGGTATTGGGGATAGTCTGTGCAGGATAGGAAATCCTCATTCACATCCTTTCAATGCCTGGAGGATTTTCTTTACACCCTTTCCTGAGTTCTATCGTTACGAGAGAGAATTCTCTCTCTACACTTGCTTCACCACACTTATAATTCTCAACATTTCTGTCATTGCAAACGTTCGGCAACATCCCATTGCCTCCAAAAATCCTAAAGGTTACACAAATACTTCCCAAAATGTCACAGTTCTATTTTTCTACCTTGTATAAGTCTTGATCAAATTGCACAAATTAAACTTAAATATTAAAAAAGGAAGGAGAATTAACGCCTGGAATATTTGATGTGAAATGCTGCAATTTACACTGTAAGCTGGTGATTTAGAAGAGAAGCAATCTTTGCAATACTCTGTGACTGTGGTTCATTTATCTCCCCCTTTTGCCGCTGCTGGGCTTATGAAAGAAAAGAGCCAGACTTATATCTTCTGTCTAAGGGGCATAGTAATGTCATCACACGCCTCTAGTGCTCATTAATCATATATGCCTGTCTCTGAAGTTGATAGCATAAGTTGTATTAGATATTTACACCATAAAGCTCTATATCATAAAGCTTTGCTGCAGTGAAAATAAGGTATCGTGGAAGTTTAGTTTATTGTCCCTTTAAATTCTTTAATATGTCATGAGAATAGATCATCAACATGACTGAATCCTGCATCACAAAAATATCTATTATTAAGTGGCTTCAGCATTTGGTACCAGACATGGGCAAATTCCCTTTTTAACTTGAGACTGATCCACACCCTTCCATCACAAATCAGGAGAGCCCAGAACAGTTTCCAAAGTCAAAAGCAATAGCTCATCTGCATCCTACCTTCCCAAAACAATGGATTCACATTACGAGAAAGGAGATTCTAACTGAACACTAGGAAGAACTTTCTGAGAGTAAGAGCTGTTTGACAGTGGAATAGACTCCCTAGGAAGGTGGTCTTCTTCTTTGGCGATCACTCATAGCTGAGTAAGATTGTCTTACATAAACACGGTTTTAAAAGTGAGTCTGTAAGTGACTGTGGAGGACAATTCTGGATCCACGCGTCCTTACACAGTGGGGACCTTGGTTTCTGGGGAGGAGTTGATCATGGTGAGGGTTTGCCAAGCGTGCCTTCCTCTTAGCACGTTTCTCCCTTGCGTCCTGAGTTCGAGCGTCTTCAAAACCCATGACACCTTTGGTAAAGGCTGTTCTCGCAGGCCAGTGTTTCCCAGTTGTCAGTGTTTATACTACATTTTCTAAGATTTGCCTTGAGAAGCAAGGATCACCATCGTCGAAGCAATGATTCTTCAACATCAACTTTGTTGGACTGGTCATGTTGTGCGGATGCCTGATTACCGTCTTCCAATGCAACTACTCTACTCCAAACTTAAAAGTGGCAAGCGTAATGTTGGTGGTTGACAAAAGAGATTCAAAGACTCTATCAAGGCAATGAAAGTGATGGACTCCTCATTGTTGGAGGTTCTTAAAGAGAGCTTGGGTGGCCATCTGTCATGGATGCTTTAGCTGTGATTCCTGCATTGCAAGTGTTGGACTAGATGACTCTTGATAATATGCATCCATCTCTACCAGCCTCCACCATCCTCACCAGCTCCTCCCACCAGCATCTCAAGCACACTTACCTCTTCCTTTCTCTTGCCTTACTTTCTAAGTGAAACGGGGGCAGGACCGGCAGTTTACACCGATTAGCAGCAAATGAGGCAACAAAATCCCAGAGGATGGTGTAAGATGAAGTTTTCTTAAGGACAGCTGCAATTGTGTGTTTTAGGGGAGCAGTTGGTTAGTGGGGAGGTCTGGGAGGGGGAGCCAGGCTTGCTAGGAGAACAACCATCTGTCCCATTGTTTGGATTCTTCCTGGATCCAATGCGAGATTGTGGCAAGAGCATGGCCAAATTTTGATAGGTTTCTGAGAAAATTTCAGAAGTCTGTCTCTCTGCCACTCCCAAATGGAAGCCACTTTTGCCGAATTTTCTCCAAATGTTCTCCAAATATTCTCCGCCACCCTCTCGACTTCCCAATACACATATAATGACCTGGGCAAAAAAGATCCCAATAGAGGCTGCCATTTTTTTGATATTCAATATCCCTGTAAGCTTCTCAGGACCACTATAGAGCAAAAATAGATTGCTCTCCCCACAGGGCCATGGGGTCACCCATCTGTTTAGCTATACTGCTTGAAAATGAGGTCCTAAATTTGCACCAGTGCGTGAGAAGCTGGTAGCCAAACAAGACCCAAGAAGATATACTCTGTTTAGAAAGATTTATTTTAAATACATTAGCAGGAGATCAGTGAAAGCATTTCAGTTTATAAAAGATCTGAGCATAACACTGAAAAGAAATCAGCAGTGCATTATGCAGGACATGAAAAAAGAAACAGTATATGCAAATAATGGTTATATGGGAAACAAAATTGAATATGGAAATGTAAACTAAACTCTAGTCAGAAAAGAGAACGTGCAAGACTCAAATTTACTGCAACTTAACCATTGCTGAACCCTACACTGGCCCACCTACTCTCCATCAGGCCTCCAGTGAAAGGTTCTTTTGTAATCCCAGCTGTCCTAATGACACCGTCAATGTGAGTGACACAATGTCATCCTGTCCCACTGCTTCCAGGGAGCATTTGCAGCTAAAGACAAGCACACCTGTCAGCTCCAGTTTCTCATAGTTTCTTATTTTCCCAAGCTTCAGTTCAGATCTCCACATCAGTTTGCAAAAATAAAAACTAAGTCTTTGTGAAAATTCACCAGCATCTCAGTGCAAACGTCTCCTAACATACAAATATTTATATGCAATTTTGCCTATTGACTTCTTTTTTGCAAAGCCATTTTCCCTAGTACAGCACGTTTTAATGTCCCTTTCACCAACACATGCATTTTTATGCACCATTTAGGGTGCGCGTTTTTGTACTTGGCTGGCAAATTGCATTGCAAAATTCAGAGAAACGTGAATTTCAAAGGATGGCTGCATTTCAGTTCTCTTATTTTTTGGGAAAGTGTAAAATAGGTTGATTCACCTTTAAATTTGAACCAAGCAAGAGTTCTGCCCCAGGCCTTTCAGCGGTCCCATTTTAGACAGCTGCCACCCATTTTCAAGGTGCACCAACTAGCAATTGCCTGTGGAAAGGAAGATGGGGAATGAAGGCAGCTTCTTCCCATGCGGACCAGTTTCCTGGGTCAATATTCCAAAGCAGAACTCTGTCCCAATTGGCACTTTAAGTGCAAGTGAGGTGAGTCTGCTTTCGAATCCAGATTTAGTTAATTCCTCTTCCCATCCCTACCCATGATGGAAAACCTCTCAGCAAAAAGATCTATGTCTGCATTCTCCCTCTTCTGCCAAAGTTAGTTAGGAGGTGCTGAAAAATAACTCAAACAGTAATAAGAGAGTCAAAGCACCTCTGAAGTGAAAAATGACGCAAATTGAGTAAGGCGTCAACATTTGATTGACAACCCAATCAACCTCAAAGTGCAATAAAGACATTTCCAGTTCTGAGATTTCCAAGGTTATTTGCTATCCCTTGGAAAGCAACGAGGCCATAATAGCCTAGTCTATTATGTTATCACATCTTTGCTTAGAAAAGCTCTGAAGAGCAGCTTATCTCCCTCAAATGCCAATGTTTGCTACAGTGCTCCTGCAATGGGGTAAAATAACCACGGATGTTACCAAATAACATGAAATTGTCTGATAACCTCTCCCTTTCCCATTTGCTTTCCTGAGGACAAGCTGGGAAGAATTGAAAATTTTAAAACTGATAAAGCTGTGACTGTATTTGCCTAACAGTATGTGCTCCTTAAGGAACGCAGGTTAAACCACAGAGCCTAGGACTTGCCAATCAGAAGGTCGGTGGTTCGAATCCCCGTGACGGGGTGAGCTCCCATTGCTCAGTCCCTGCTCCTTCCAACCTAGCACGTCAAAGTGCAAGTAGATAAATAGGTACCACTCCGGCAGGAAGGTAAACGGTGTTTCCATATGCTGCTCTGGTTCGCCAGAAGCGTCTTAGTCATGCTGGCTACATGACCCAGAAGCTGTATGCCGGCTCCCTCGGCCAGTAAAGCAAGATGAGCGCCGCAACCCCAGAGCCAGCCACAACTGGACCTAATCGTCAGGGGTCCCCTTTACCCTTTACCTTATGTGCTCCTTAAGTGGATACAGGGATACAGTGGTACCTCAGGTTAAGAACTTAATTCGTTCCGGCGGTCCGTTCTTAACCTGAAACCATTCTTAACATGAGGCGCGCTTTTGCTAATGGGGCCTGCCGCTGCTGGCGCATGACTTCCGCTCTCATCCCAGGGCAAAGTTTGCAACCAAGAGCATCTACTTCCAGGTTGGCAGAGCTTGTTACCCGAAGCGTTCATAAGGAGGACAGTACGTAACCTGAGGTTCCACTGTACAATACAACTGAGGTAATGACAAGCAATGGTCCCTCTGTACTGCACAAATGCACAAACTATCAACCAGCTGTAAAATTCCAAGTTTCTAGATGCTAGTTATTTGGAATTTATTACAGAGATGCCTTGCTACACACATGGCAGGATAGCAGCATCCTGAAGTTTTCTGCAGCCTCTCTGGCTGGCCAGACAGTTATCTCCTATTAGCCTATAAATTTAAAGGGTTGTTTCCTAAAGCTGGAATAGGCGAGGGCTATACTGAGGGGGTGTTCTCTGAGCTGGAGAAGTCAAGCCAAGTCCCAACCTATTGTGCTCCTGCCAAAGAAAGAAAGCAGAAATAAGCTTCTTCACCAGATCTTAGGAATCTGACATCCGGATATGGGAGGAGGTGGTTTGCAAGGAATCTTGGACATAAGCCATTGAGAACTTTAGATGGAACCACCAACATGCTGAATCATCAGCAACCTGGAATCCCAAAGTCATGCAAGGTGCCTAGTGTGTTGCTCTTCACCCAAACATGGGACTGTTCAGATCACACTGGCTATTACATCAAGCCATGCACGTATGAACAAATAACAAGTGTGCAAACTCCCCAACCATACAATCATGGAATCATAGAGTTGTTGAGTGGGAAGAGACCATGTGAGTCATCCAGTGCAAGAACCTTTTGCCCGATGTGGGGCTCGAACCCACAACCCTGAAATTAAGAGTCTTATGCTCTAATGACAGAGCTATTCCAGTCAAGAGAGGGCCGATGGTTCAATGGTAAAGCAGGTTTTTCATGCAGAATGTCCCAGGTTCTGTTCTCAGGATCTCCAGTCAAAATGAGCCACAATGACTGTGTAACCACCTCCACTGTCGGAGGCAGGATGGCTGTGAGCATCAGTCCTTGCTGCTGCGAATCACATGTGGGAGGAGTGCTGGTACATTCAGGTCCTGACTGCAAGGCCAGGGATGTTGGGAACTTAAGCCACATTCACACCATACATTTAATTCGACATGGTACCACTTTAAACATTCAAGGCTTCCCCCAAAGAATTCTGGGAACTGTAGATGGCTAAGGGTAATGAGAGTTGTGATAGGGACGTGGGTGGTGCTGTGGTCTAAACCACTGAGCCTAGGGCTTGCCGATCAGAAGCTCGGCAGTTCGAATCCCCGCACCGGGGTGAGCTCCCGTTGTTCGGTCCCAGCTCTTGCCAAGCTAGCAGTTCGAAAGCACGTCAAAGTGCAAGTAGATAAATAGGTACTGCTCTGGCGGGTGTTGGAAATACGCCTGGGAAGGCCACCACCTTCCCAAGACACCTGGGCGTCTCTCCGGTGGTCACCCTCTGGCTGTAAATCTTCCTCAGTCCAGAGAGACTGGTGATAAGCGACCCCCTCACTCCTGAGAGGAGCGCGCTCGTCTTCTGGCATCTCGTTGCAGAAGAAAGAGACAATCGTAGTTCTAAAACTACTTTATTTCAGTCTATATACAAATAATCCATCAGCTTGTCTGTGCTCTCTGAGCAGCAGTACAGAACAGTATCTCACACAGAAGTGAAAGTTACTTCTCCAGCAGTACTCCAACAGTACTGAAACTTCCTGTCTCACGCTCTCAGACACTCACATGATATAAACAATATAGTGCTACTACTGAGCAGCTTGGGTGGATAAAAATCCTAACAGCAGGAAGGTAAATGGCATTTCTGTGTGCTGCTTTGGTTCGGCAGAAGCGGCTTAGTCATGCTGGCCACATAACCGGGAAGCTGTCTACAAACAAACGCCAGCTCCCTCGGCCTGTAGAGTGAGATGAGCGCGAAACCCCAGAGTCGTCCACGTCTGGACCTAATGGTCAGGGGTTGTTGTTGTTTAGTCGTTTAGTCGTGTCCGACTCTTCGTGACCTCATGGACCAGAGCATGCCAGGCACTCCTGTCTTCCACTGCCTCCCCCAGTTTGGTCAAACTCATGCTTTGAGAACACTGTCCAACCATCTCGTCCTCTGTTGTCCCCTTCTCCTTGTGCCCTCCATCTTTCCCAACATCAGGGTCTTTTCCAGGGAGTCTTCTCTTCTCATGAGGTGTCCAAAGTATTGGAGCCTCAGCTTCACGATCTGTGCTTCCAGTGAGCACTCAGAGCTGATTTCCTTCAGAATGGAGAGGTTTGATCTTCTTGCAGTCCATGGGACTCTCAAGAGTCTCCCCCAGCACCATAATTCAAAAGCATCAATTCTTCAGCGACCAGTCTTCTTTATGGTCCAGCTCTCACTTCCATACATCACTACTGGGAAAACCTTTACCTTTAATGAGAGTTGTGAGGGGGTCCCTATTCCTTGAATCATAGAATCATGGAGTTGGAAGGGACCGTGAGGACCACCTATTCCTACCCCCTGTGATACAGGAATATGCAGCTTTCCCTTATGGGGATCGAACCTGCAACCTTGGCATTATCAGCACCAGGCTCTAACCGACTGAGCTAGTGTTCCCAAAGCTCCCCAGGAAGAGGGATTGATTGTAAAACCACTCTGGAAATTGTAGCTCTGTGGACTGGGATCTCCTCACTGACGAACTACAGCTCCCAGAATTCTTTGGGAGAAGCCATGACTGTTCAGAGTGGTCAGAATGCTTTGAATGCATTGTGTGAATGTGACCTTAGCCTTGCTAACTGGGAGCTTTGGGTCTATCTGAGCTTCTTTTAATTGGTTGACTGGTTTACTTTTATGGGTCTGTAAGCAGTTTTGAATATTCATGGTAATAGAAAGTGGGGTGTAAATCAAAATAGGAATAATTCAGATTTGGTTTTTTAAAACAATGGCACTTCTTTGGGGGAAGCATTTCCCACCGACATTTTACTGGACGTGTTGAAAGTATTGATCTTATCTCTGGATTCCCAACACTAAGAAGAATTTACCCCAATGTGTCTTAAATCCATCAAGTGCTCACCGCATTAATCAGTCCACTATTGCCTGTCAAATGCCTGCTCAGTGGTATTTGCTGCCCTTTTTGTCATTCGGCTCACAACCACCTTTCAGAGTGAGCTCAGTACAAATGATAGCAGCTAAAATATCCGACCAACAGCCCTTCCCCCACACCTTCTGTAGATCATCCTGTCTCAGAGGCTCTTTTTTTTTTTTTTAGTGATCTAGTCTTGAATTTTAAGATGTCCAAGAGAATTAATCACGAGCTATTAAGACCAGGAGGCATTTGTTAAAGGCCTTGGAAGTGGATGCACAGTTACCTCAGGCTGATATTTTACTCAGTGAAGGCTTGATAATTATCCCATTCACCTACACACAATAGCCCTGAGATCATTAATATTCCTTTTTACAAACCGGGGGTGTTAAGGGAGTGAGACTTGCCTAAGGACACCCAGGGAAATTATGCAAAAGTGAAGATAGGATTGTTCAGTCTAAGAGATGGTTCTCAAGGGATTATGTGTGTGTGTGCGTGCACATGTGTGTGTGCGTACACACACACACATGTTAAACAATTTGGGGTATATAAATACATCATATTCCCTTCCACCATTCATTCATCGCATACAGCACTGATTCCTTGCTGCTGCAGTTTGTCTTCCACCCAAAACTACCAGTACATTGTTCTTCTTGCTGCTAGATGTGGAGAAAACACATAATTTACACAGTTATCTAGTGATGCAATTAACTGCATAATCAATTATTTGGGCAAATTACGTGTCTCATTCACATTATGCTATTCCACCTCATTCAGAAGAAACGCAAAGCAGATTGGGAGGGGTGTAGTCCATTTCTTATCAATTGCAAGCTGAAAGCAACAACAGCGGACACCGATTCCTGGATTCATTTCTGCACCAGACATGGTTTGATTTCCATTCTGCCACACCCCTCACTGCCCCTGCCCTGAGTATCTAGGTCTGGTGGGAATGTGTACTTGGATTCTAACCAGGGCTCTATCTTGGCTGGGTAGAGGAGGGGGGGTGTGATTGCATGTCGAATCTAGCCTTCTGTACATTTTTTGCTCCTCCCACTTTAACCTCTGGACCTGCCCATGACAGCAAACTGGTCTGCAGAACAGAAGGGAATGTGGCTTCCAGGCTGAATACAGTGTTAGAATTCCTGTTCCGTGATTGCAGTCATGGGATTTTTGTCTTTCACATGACGGTATATGTTTTGACTCCACAAAGTGGGAAGTGACGGAGACAGGATGTTTGTGTTACTGTGTTCCGTGAAGTGAGACTATTGTCCTTTGTTTTTTCTCTTTGCTGTCTGATGCTAGAGAGAGAGGGAGCCATGTTGCAGTGCTCCATGTATGTTTATACATAAATAAAGTAGATTAGCCAAAATGCTGAGTTGCTGAGGTCTGTTATGCAACCTGTGAAGACCTTGTGGATCCCTAAGTGTGCCGGTGTCTGTTGGCATCGGTCGCTGTGATGTTCGGGCAGAAGAAAGCTTTTGAAGCTTCCGAACAAACGACCAGGAGGGAGAGAACATGCCAGTCGGGCATGTGTCTTTGCCAGGGTCCTACTCGAGAGTAGGACGAGCTCCTGACATACAGATCCTCCATCTCTCTCCTAAATGCTTGAGCTGCAGGCGAGCAAGATTTAGGTGGAGAAACGAGGCTTTTGCAAGATCTGGATTGTATGGAAGGAGACAAAATAAGTGTGAGATTGCAATTAGCTTATTAATTGGCTCAGAAACACTGAAGTCAGGTACTGCTGGTTTAAATTGGAAAGGTAGGATTGTGTGCTATAACCAGGCACAGGGAATTATTTGTGGATGGCCTCTTTCAGTACAGACCAGCCTCCAGACTTCCCCATCACTCTCTTCCCTTGGAACGCAAGAAACCATGTGCCGGCCTCTGTTGGGAAACACACCAGGATGCTCTATAGAGCCCTGCCCACGGAAGCTGTTAGGTAAAGCTGCTCCACAATGAACTTGGCGTTTGACCTGGACGTTCTGAATTAAAACCTGAAAATTGCATGCTATCTTCCCTTGTGCACTGCAATGAACATAAGGAACATCCCAAAATATCCTATTAAAAAATCCTATCAAGAATTGCTCTCTGAGAGCTTCTGATCATTTTGAGCGCAGAGATGTTCATTAGTCTGAGATACATCTCATTAGGCATACGGGTGCTTTTAGCAAAATAATGGACAGAAATCTGCAGCTTTCTCCCAAGCTGGATTTTCGGGGGCTTTCAATGGGCCTGTCACAGCTATAGTGTAGACATAGCACGCAATTTTCAGCTTTTTATTCTAAATGTGCAGGTTGGGCTAATGACGCTGGACTATTATGTGTAGCCTGAGCGTGGTATTCAAGGTTCAACTCCAGCCACAAAGGTCAAATCTATATTTATCTGGGTCTGTAAATGCAAGGTGTATTCATAGCATTATATTTCATGCCCACTTCCCCCTTTATATATGTGTGTGTGTGTGTGTGTGCATGAGCGTTCGTTGAAGCATAGGCTGCAATTGAACCTTAGTGCTCAACCATCTATTTTATTTTATTTTTAATATGAGTTTCATGTGAGTTTATGTTATACAGCTGGCTATCAGAACTTCCTGCTGGCTTCAGTTCTGTGTTCAAGCAATTATTCCTGCCAGGGATTCAGTAAGTATCAAACAGAAAAAAAGGAAAAGTGTTAACACAATTCCTCAGGGTCTGTTTTTTTTCTGGATACAGGGACATGAAACTGGCTCCTCAGATCTATTTTCTCAGCCTGCCCCAAGCAACAGATTTCACAGAAACATTATCTGCCTCTTCAAACTCTGTATGGCTGCTGTTTGCACTTCCCTTGATTCAATGCTATCAATTACTTGCTTGTAGCCGAAGCCTTGGGAAAAAACTGCCTGTGTACAAATGGTGCAACCTGTCCTCATAGGGAAGTCACTCCATACCCCTGATCGTTTTGGTTGTAGAATAGAGATAGCAGTAGAGTTGGAAGGGACCCAAGGGTCATCTAGTCCAACCCCCAGTGATGCAGGAATCTCAGCTAAAGCATCCATGACAGATGGCCATCCAACCTCTGCTTAGAAACCTCCAAGGAAGGAGAGTCCACCACCTCCCGAGGGAGACCATTCTAATGTCGAACAGCTCTTAGTGTCAGAATTTTTTCCTTATGCTTAGTCAGAATCTCCTTTCTTGTAACTTGAAGCCATTGTTTTGAGTCCTACCCTCCAGAGCAGCAGAAAACAAGCTTGTTCCATCTTCCATGTGACAGCCCTCGAGATATTTGAAGATGGATATCATATCTCCTGAGAAGAGAAGACTCCCTGGAAAAGACCTTGTCCAACCATCTCGTCCTCTGTTGTCCCCTTCTCCTTGTGCCCTCAATCTTTCCCAGCATCAGGGTCTTTTCCAGGGAGTCTTCTCTTCTCATGAGGTGGCCAAAGTACTGGAGCCTCAGCTTCAGGATCTGTCCTTCCAGTGAGCACTCAGGGCTGATTTCCTTCAGAATGGAGAGGTTTGATCTTCTTGCAGTCCATGGGACTCTCAAGAGTCTCTTCCAGCACCAGAATTCAAAAGCGATCAATTCTTCGGCGATCAGCCTTCTTTATGGTCCAGCTTTCACTTCCATATATCACTACTGGGTAAACCATAGCTTTAACTATACAGACCTTCGTCGGCAAGGTGTTGTCTCTGCTTTTTAAGATGCTGTCTAGGTTTGTCCACATATGTGTAGAACATTTAATTATTTCATAATCAATCTCGGATTGAATTACGCCAAATTAAAGTTTGCTGGATCAAAGTAAGGGCTGGTTAGATTTTTGAAAATTCTCAACATACAATATACAACTTCCTAATGGACTAACGTTGAGTTTAAGAGGCAGCACTAATCTATAGTAAGTGTTCACACACAAGATGAGCAAGGCTTCCAAAACAAAGTCAGACAATTAACACTATAAAGGAGAACCAAATTTAGACTATTCAATTATACTCCTAATGGAAAAGTTAGTACAATCACTCTTTGAGTTTCTGGTAACACAAAAGCTGTTATGCACCTCTAAATTCATTACATCTCAGTACATCAATCATTGGGCAGGACCCTTATACTTATACTTTGATCCTGGAAGTATAAACACCCACTGTTTATTATGCAATGGTCTGAAGACCTTAATGACCTGGAACACATTTATTATAAACATCAACTTATCTTGGGTAGGTATTCAAACATTTGAATGGCATATATTGAGCGATATGTGTAAATCAAGATGGCTGTATTGATGGTTACTGCATTGTTAATGTGAGCTGATTGGGGGTGTTTTTCTTTTTTTTACTCCCTCTTCTCTTCTTTTTTTTCTTCTCTCTTTTTTTTCTTTAATAAAATTTCAGTTTAAAAATTGATTTTAAAGAACCCCAGAATAAGTGTCTGTCTGTCTGTCTGTCTGTCTATCTATCTATCTATCTATCTATCTATCTATCTCTATCTCTCTAGCTAGCTAGCTAGCTAGCTATTGATCTGAATGCATGAATAAATGTATAGCATTGTCCATAGTACAGAATACAGTTTATGGAATACTGATTAAATGCAAATCATGCAAAAATCCAGCCTATGAAATAGCAGGATACTGACTTGGCGCTTGTGGAGAGTAGAAAGAGATCTAATTCCATATTCCTTTCCAGTGAAGAACTGCACAAAATTCAAGATAAGCCACTTGGGCTGTCAATCTAGAGCAAGTCACAGAAGGTGGTAATAAATTAAACCACCCAAGAGAAGCCAAGGAACAAGTGCTTTGCCTTGATTTGTGCTCTTTTGATCCCCTCCCTGTGTGTTGCTCACTCTTCTATTGATCTTCCGTTGGTTATTTCCACACTTTCATCTCCTCTTTTCCACAGCACCCACAGGGAAGGGATATATTTGACATCGCCAAGATTGCCTTCACCTTCGACAGCCTCTGAGCTCAGAACCAACATCTGCAGGTGAAGAGATTGCCTGAGGTCAGGAGCAAACTAACTGGATCCACCTGGAGCCACTGTTTTTGTTTTGTTTTCAATGGCACTGGGATCGCATCTCCCTTGCAAGCGACCTCAGTCTGCCCCAGGCCTTTCATTCCATTGGAGTTGAATGGTGCAGAGAAAATGAAGAGAGAAAGAAAAGGCGTGCTTGAAAATACTAGAGCCTGGGTTGCCAAACGAAATGAACTGGCCACAGATACAGATATAAAAAGAGAGAGAGAAGTATTTCTTCACTCGAAGAATAACTTACTGGAATTCTTTGTCATTCATTCTTTTTCCAAGTTGCTCAGATCAGATACATAAGAAGAGTCCAGCTGGATCCGGCCAATGGCTCGACTAGTCCAGCATTCGGTTCTCACAGTGGCCAGTGGGAAACCTGCAAGAATACGAACAGGGTTCATCTCATTGTATTCTGTGAAAGAAGTTAAGAGAGATAACATTGCCTGAATCTTTGGGTCACCAGTGTGGGACGTATGTATACAATGCTGCCCTTGAGGTCTTTACCTGGTTCCCAGAAAGCCTCTGAGCCCCTCATCCAACTACTGCTTCCTTGGTCACAAGGTGGTGAGGGTGGTTACCTTTTCCCCCCTTGCGAAGTACATAGTGCTGAAGGAGGAAGTTGGAGGAGTGGCTCTTTCCCCACTTCCTCTTTCAACTCTATGTACTTTCATCTCTATGTACTTTCCAAAACTTAGGTTGTGTTTACTGGATTTTTTAAATATCATTTTTTATTTGATTTTACAAGTGTAAGGATACAACAAAACCAAATAAATATCTGTATTTAGAGATTTGTCAGACTCTCCAGACTTCCCACCATCACCTCCCTGGTCATATTGTCAACATTTTCAACTGCATATTATTCCATCATCCATATTTTATATCTCCACATATTGTCCATAGTGTTTGATATATTACAAGTGTTATTAAAACCATGCTAATGCTTTCATCTGATTACAGTGGTCTCCTACATAAATTATACATTTTCCCCATTCTTTCTTGAAGTTTGGTCTTCTTGGTTCCTGAGCTTTCTGGTTAGTTTTGCCATTTTGGCGTAGTCCAATAGCTTAGTTTGCCATTCTTCTCTGGTGGTGTTTCCTGGATTTTAAAGTGACATGTGCACATAATTGTTTCCTGTCTTCCTGTTTCTCTGGGTCAGCAGGGCTGATCTGGGAGACTGGGAAATAGTGAGCAGAGGGGTGGCACCTAATAGTAATCTCTCAAAAATCCACATGTGCTCATGGGCCTAAGAAGTCTGGTGCACGTGAGAAGTTTCATATCTTGTCAAAAAACAACAACTGTGAACTGGAAGTCCTTAAATATCCTGGACCAAAGTTAAGGACCTTGTACAGTGGTACCTCTGGTTGCGAACGGGATCCGTTCCGGAGGCCCGTTCACAACATGAAAAGAGCGCAACCCACAGTGGCGCATCTGCGCACAGTGGGTTGCGATTCACCGCTTCTGCGCATGCGCATGACGTCATTTTGCGCTTCTGAGCTTGCGTGAGTGGCGAAACCCAGAAGTAACCCTTTCCAGTACTTCCGGGTCGCCGCAGGACGTAACCTGAAAGAACGTAACATGAAGCAAACATAACATGAGGTATGACTGTAATTTAATACAAGAACCTCGCCCCCGTAAACATATTAGTGTATCGGATTATTGGCCATAAACACAGAAGGGCTGGACATCAGTTATATGGGAGAGTTAAGAGTTATAAACTCAAGCTGTCAGTATTTATTCTTTCTCCATCCCCCCACCTTGCTGCCCCCACTCTCCAACGATACATAAATACTGAAGACTATTTCAGACAGGGGCAAATTTCACACATCATTGGGAACAATAATAAGTGTATTCTAGATAAGGAGCACTTGGTGTACTAATGCGCTTTAATGCACTGCAAAATGTAAGCTGATAAGTGGATCAACTAGATAATTGCAGCAAGTCTGCATCAACACCAGTCTTTATTACATATACACATGTCTAGTGAGAGTGTCAGTTCCTAAATGTTCTAATAACTAGGTTTAATCTTCTTTTGACACACACACCCCCAAAGTTCCACGGCATTTCCTCTCTCAAACAACATTTCCAAGAGAATCTGCTCTGAAACATATCAAGGCTAATGGCTGCCTCCTTTTCTCCAGTTTTGCAGGGCTGGATTCCATCAGATATATTCCTCCAATATTTAATCCTGCCTTGCTTCCATCATGGAACTCAGAGTAGCATACATATGGATAAAATTGCCAGATATATATGGACTACGTGTGAAGCTCTCAAGTTTCAGCCTGGCAACAGCCTGTTGTAAATTATTGCATGGAATTTCAGGGAGTAGATCTGCTTTACTTTGCTTTCTCCTCCCCTCTCCCAATTAACCTCCATCTCCAGGGCTCTGGGGTTTGAGGGACCACAGAGGAAAAACTACCGGCGCCCACCACCCATCACATAACCAGTGGCTGCTCCTAGGTCTCAGGTTTGGACCCTGAAATCTCAGAGTCTAGGATACTTCTGATCTGACAATCTTATTCCTTGATGGTCTGTTTCCAGGAACTGATGAGACCCAGATCTGCTTGGTTACACCAAGGTGGTGGTTTCATGTGCCTTCAGACCATCCTTGGATCCAATTATTAGAAATGGCCACCACTGAAAATGTCTTTAAATTACTCATGCTTCTGTGTTTTAGCATGGACTGAATTATTGCCCAATTTTAAAATAACTTCCTTTTTAAAAATGTCCAAGTCAAAATTCCTTTGAATTGTGTCTCAGATGACAACACTGGAAGACTCAGAGACAGATGAGGAGGACTTGAGAACAGAGGGCAGGGAAGGGAAGGAATATAATGAGAAAAGGAGACAGCTACAACAACCATCTTCACCAACCAGCCTGATCAAGGATCAGGGATGATGGGAATTGGAGCCTGACAACAGATGAAGTGCACCACCCTGGCTACTGAGGCAAGCAAACATTGAAGGGTGGGAAAGAAAAGCACAGAACCTTTCTGCATACTCTGAAGTTGCCATCAAACAGACAAGTGCCAGATCAGTGAAGATGTCAGAGGAAAAACTCAGGCTCTGTATGATCAGAGAAGAAGAACCATGTGCATCAGAAAGAACAAAACAAAGCCAGAGGACTGTCCAGAGGGACCATAGAGCAAGTTCTCTCCATCAGCAACCTACATAGTCTCACAGTGGGGATGAGATAATGATACAAATTGACATCAGCCTCCAGGCTTTTCAACTTCTTCCACAACAGTTTTTTAGCCATTGGCTCTTATTGGATTTATTTAGATGTTGGATAACCAACCTAACATCACAACAATTTGGAGAGGGATCTACAGGAGGAAAACACTAGCTTGGAGGTTATAGTTCAGAAAACCATTACAGGAATGCAAAATAGTTTACGTTCACATCCATGCTTCCCACCCACCCTTACGGTGACTTTTCAGCGACCTTGGCATTCAGGGTATCTTCTTAGCTGGTGTTGGGAAGAGACCGCTCTTGCTTGAAACTTGAGATGGATGGATCAGTCTAAAGCATAAGAAGAACCCTGCTGGATCAGACCAAAGACTCATTTCCCCTTCCCCACACAGTCTCATGTCCCCCCCCCATTTAATAAACTTATAGACATTATGTTTTGCTTTTAGGAGACACTTGCCTGCAGCATTTTGATCACTGAACATGCACAATGGGATCAGGGAGGAGTAGGGAGTAGGAAATGCATGGACAAATGGAATGGAAAGAAACCTGTACAAGAGCACTTGATATTATGACGTTTTGTTACAGATCCTACCTGATGTTTTTTGCATCTGGAGTATGTATACTTGTTGTTGTTGTTTAGTCGTGTCCAACTTTTCGTGACCCCATGGACCAGAGCATGCCAGGCACTCCTGTCTCCACTGCCTCCCACAGTTGGGTCAAACTCTTGCTGGTAGCTTCGAGAACATTTTCCAACCATCTCATCCTCTGTCACCCCTTCTCCTTGTGCCCTCCATCTTTCCCAACATCAGGGTCTTTTCCAGGGAGTCTTCTCTTCTCATGAGGTGACCAAAGTATTGGAGCCTCAGCTTCAGGATCTGTCCTTCCAGTGAACACTCAGGGCTGATTTCCTTCAGAATGGATAGGTTTGATCTTCTTGCAGTCTAGGGGACTCTCAAGAGTCTCCTCCAGCACCATAATTCAAAAGCATCAATTCTTTGGCGATCAGCCTTCTTTATGGGCCAGCTCTCACTTCCATACATCACTACTGGGAAAACCATAGCTTTAACTATACGGACCTTTGTTGGCAAGGTGATGTTTCTGCTTTTTAAGATGCTGTCTAGGTTTGTCATCGCTTTTCTCCCAAGAGAATGTTTACACTGGGTGTCAATTAGCTACCAGCACATAAACGGATGCCTTAAGCATGGCACAAAACTATATAAAAATACTTTTGTAGTAATACTTATATTAATACTTGTATTAATATTTATAAAACAATGCTGCAGATATCACCTTATCAGGAGGTTCATAATCACCACATAAGAATCCAGCCTTCAGTGATGTGTTACCTCTCCTTTGGAATTCCCTTTCCTTAAATATTAGATAGTCTCTGTTGTCCTTTTGGTGCCTACAGAAGATCTTCCTCTTTCACAAGCCTTCTAAGTTGGGACCTTTCCCAGTTTGCATCTGCATTGGAAAGATGTTTTGATCATGTTATCTCTTGCTGCTTGCCTTCCCGGGCCCCTTTGGAAAGCAGGGTGGGATATAAATATATACTTATATTATAAATAAATAAAAAAACCAACAAAACCCTGTTGTTTTGTTTCCTCCTACAGTGGGAGATTTGTGACTCTTGTCAGTCAAGTTCAGAAGACATTCTGAAGGTCCCCTGAGAAGCAATGGTGGTAAGCAACTGTTTATGGGAACTTGGAAAAAAAATAGAGTTTCTTCCACAGCAAGTTTATTTCTTCTCCCAACAGTGGATTCTTTACCTTTCAGTCATCTGTCATCTCCCATTATGTCCCTTGCCTCTTGCGACAGACATGTTACAACCCAGATGCCAAAAGGTCTGCCGTCTCTCTTCTGAGCAACAACTGCTTTGCATAACAGATCCCTAAAGGCAGTAGCTGCTCTGAAAACAAATGTACCCCTAAAAAGCAATTCCTCACATAAGGAAAGGAAGCCCTAGAGGTATCCATAGCTAAAGAGGTCATTCGATGGTCAAAGATGCCATCTCAGGGCTGGTCGTTGAAAATGCACTCTGCTACATCATCATAAATCTGAGACCAGTTGGAATCATGAGTAAAAATTCAAGGGCAGGGATCCAAAGTGGTGTTTTTAGTCTTGACTGAGGATATTGGGAATGGTCAGTGAAAGAACACGTGTCTTGCATGTAGGTTCAATTTCCAGGTATGGCTGGGAAGGAAAAGTCCCTTCTCTGGAACCCTGAAGAGTCCATGCCAGTCAATGTAGATGAAGGGTGTCTAACCTGTGGTCCTCCAGATTTTTGGGACACCATCTCCCATCAGTCTGGGACAGCATGGGCAACAATCAAGGACTATGGGAATAGCAGTCCAAGAATATCAAAGGAGGATACAGGTTAACCACCTCTGGTGTAGACAGCACTAAACTGGTTGGGCCAATGGTTTGACACAGTGGGATACGACTTTCTGGGTTCCTCCCAGGAACGGGGGGTACAGGGGAATTTGAAATATTATTTATAATATAAAAGCTTTAACACAAAATTTTTAACTGTGTTGTATTTGTATACAGCAAAGAGAAGTTTAGAGTAATTAGGTATACTTTAATTTAGTTAATTATGTAATAGGTTTATGTTAGAAAATGAATATGGATGTTGAATTTGATGTTTGTAATTTTGAATTTGATGTTTGTAATTTTTCTTTTTTTGGTTTTGGAAATAAAAAATATAATAATAATAATAATAATAATAATAATAATAATAATAAACTTCCTGGGTTCCTCCCAATATCTCATCTTTAAATATAATTTTTCCATTTGTTCTGTTTTTCTGAGCTGACAACAGTATTACAAAATTCGTAGAAATGCAGAATCCGAAGAACAATTAAGTTCCAATCTGCACATTAGTTCAGGAGGGGCGGATTGGGTCAGTTTGTACTGAAAACTGAATTCCTCAAAGCATCTCTTACCCGGGGGGGGGGGGGATATGCACATTGTCACAACACCTTATGCCCAGACTTGCTCAACATCCCTATGAGTAAGTTTAGAATTTGGATGGAAGGCAAAGCAAGGTATACTCCCCTCCCCGACAATTAGCCTCCCCATACTGAAAGCTAATTTCTGTATAATGCTCATGGGAATTGGCACATCACTAAATATGCACCACATGATGAGTGAGAAGGGCCATTCCCGGTGTTTGTTTTCGCTTCTCTGGGCTGCTGAGCAACAAATGTCAGGAGTGACAGAATAGAAGATGGGTTATCCATCATTATGAAGGATGGAGAGCCAGAGGAGAGTGAGTGGCTGCTAAGTATTTGGGGAAGGTATGCTTTGATTGTTTCCAAATTAGAAGCAATCTGCTTCAGTTGGAAGAACTTGTGTTTTGAAGCTGGTTGGGTGTCAGATTCAGAGTGGGAAGACCTGGATCCTGTCAGGTTGGCTGCAGGTAAGCAGCTAGCTGAGCCCGGGAGCAGGGCAGAAATCCAAGCACGTATTTCGTTATATATTTAGGTACATAATTGTTTGGGCTGCTTTTCAGGGTTACCTGTCTCTGTAAGCAGTGTCCAAAACTAGTTCAGGACCAGTTGTGAAGAGACTGCTGTCACATAGTTTGCATCTGGATTTTTTAGAAAGTCAGTGTGGGGGAGGTGGTGAGCTGTATAGGGACCATCATAGGGCATTAAGCCTTTGCCCCCTGATCAGAATAAATTTTAAAATAGCTATGCACAGTGGATTATTTGAATTATGGTGCTGGAGGAGACTCTTGAAAGTCCCATGGACTGCAAGAAGATCAAACCTATCCATTCTGAAGGAAATCAGCCCTGAGTGCTCACTGGAAGGACAGATCCTGAAGCTGAGGCTCCAATACTTTGGCCACCTCATGAGAAGAGAAGACTCCCTGGAAAAGACCCTGATGTTGGGAAAGATGGAGGGCACAAGGAGAAGGGGACAACACAGGATGAGATGGCTGGATAGTGTTCTCGAAGCTACCAGCATGAGTTTGACCAAATTGCAGGAGGCAGTGGAAGACAGAAGGGCCTGGCGTGCTCGGGTCCATGGGGTTGCGAAGAGTTGGACATGACTAAACGACTAAACAACAACATTCACAGTGGAAGGAAAGCCCCCACTGACACTACAGCGGTATTGCTGTCACTGAAATACTTTGGGTTTACTGAAAAATATTTAAGTTTGATATCTGTTGTTCCTTGTTATTGCAATTTGCCAATGGGCTGGCACAGCCATGGGTGGGAGTTCTGCTGTCAATAAAGACTGAGCCTGCCCACTCCTCCTGCAAATATAGGGCTGCATGCAAATAACAATAACAACAATAACAATAACAATAATTTATTATTCATTATTTATACCCCACCCATCTGTCTGGGTTTCCCCAGCCACTCTGGGTGGCTTCCAACCAAATATTAAAAACAATGCAGCATCAGAAATTAAAAACTTCCCTAAATAGGGCCGCAAATTATTTGTGGTCATGTGTTCTGTTTTGACCACGATGGGAAGAGGTAGTTCTCACAATGGAAGCAGTCATTCCCCAATGCTGCCCTTCTCCTACATATTTAAATGAAACCTTCTGTTGCCTCCAGACGGAATGCTGACTCAGGGACCTGATCTTCGGTTGTCAGCACAGCATGTCCCGGCTCAAATTATTAGTCACCTTCAGGTCTTCATTTTAAAAATCGAGGTAAATAAAGCAGAAGGAAAGGGAAGCCTGAACAGAAAGCAATGAAATATAGCAGGCATTATTTTTATAGCGGGATTTTGTTGTGACTTGCTCCGTCAATAAATCAGAACTGAACAAGGCGTTTGGAGATTCACAGCCACTAATATGTTTTAAGAGGGCTCCAGTTATAAATATCAAAGATGAAAGGCCAGCAAAGGCCTCCATTTCTTTTTATAGGTTGTTCATGCTTTTGCCAATGCGCCCTTTCTGTGAGTCGTGACTCCTATTCCCTCATGTCTCCGCAGCAGAAAAGTGAAGGGTTTCAACTTGAGTCCTGAACTGAGCTAAGAGCCTAGAACAGGAGTGGAGAACCACCAGCCCAGGAGTCAGGTGTGGCCCCTGGAGCCTCCCTATCAAGCCTACAGCACCCCAAAGAGTTGTGGTGTTGGAAGGGATCCCATGGAATCCTTTAGCTGTCATTCATGCATTGCAGACAGGGGGTTGGAGTAGATGACCTGATTCTATGAGTCCCACTTGTATGTTGTTGTTGTTTAGTCGTTTAGTTGTGTCCGACTCTTTGTGACCCCATGGATCAGAGCACGCCAGGCACTTCTCTCTTCCACTGCCTCCCGCAGTTTGGTCAAACTCATGTTGGTAGCTTCAAGAACACTGTCCAACCATCTCGTCCTCTGTTGTCCCCTTCTCCTTGCGCCCTCCATCTTTCCCAACATCAGGGTCTTTTCCAGGGAGTTATCTCTTCTCATGAGGTGACCAAAGTATTGGAGCCTCAGCTTCATGATCTGTCCTTCCAGTGAGCACCCAGGGCTGATTTCCAACAGAATGGATACGTTTGATCTTCTTGCAGACTCTCAAGAGTCTCCTCCAGCACCATAATTCAAAAGCATCAATTCTTCAGCGATCAGCCTTCTTTATGGTCCAGCTCTCACTTCCATACATCACTACTGGGAAAACCATAGCTTTAACTATACGGACTTTTGTTGGCAAGGTGATGTGTCTGCTTTCTAAGATGCTGTCTAGGTTTGTATACCGGTATTTATTATTTAAAAGACATTTGATAAACTGATGAATTTAAAAAGTCTCATAGCCTTCTAGTAACAATTTGGAACTTCCTACAGTGAAATGTGTGCCTTCTAATTGCAGGCATGTGAGCCACAGGGCCAGAGAGCCTTTCACAACATGAAGTGCATATGACTTAAGATGGAGAAAGCAAAGAAGAAGGGTTAAAAGTATTCACAGTGATGGTTGAATTCTCTATGGCTTTGTGTTTTTCTGTGGGTGCCTTTCTTTCTTGCAATCCCTCCAGAGGAGAAAACTGATGGTTGTTGTTGTTGTTGTTTCCCTTTACAGGAAAAAGTGATCCAGAGAGAATAATAAAGCACCTCTACTGCACTACTGTCAAATTTACATCAGCAAGAGGGATTCAAAGGGCTGCTGGAATGACTGGCACTTAATACACACAAAGCCAACACCTTTTTTCCCTGTCCATCCTAATAATTGCTCTGATTTCTTTCTGTCACAAATTGGCACACTCCCAACTGGCCATACGTTTCTCAAAGGACGGATTCAAAACAGAAGTGTATTGTGATTTGTGACAGAGGTAATGGCTTTCCCCCTCTTTCAAGCATCACAAAGCAGACACTTTTCAGCTTCTTCAAATGTCTTTGCTTCTTGAACAACAACTTGGTAAATGGATGAAAATATTGCCACTTCTGTCAGCCTCAGGCTGAGGCTACAAATATCCATGATTATTACTCATGAAGGGCACAACCAGACTTCCAGTAATAATAATAATAATAACAATAATAATAATTTATTATTTATACCCCGCCCATCCGGGCGGCTCCCAATCAAGTGTTAAAAACAGTACAGCATTAAATATTAAAAACTTCCCTAAACAGGGCTGCCTTCAGATGTCTTTTAAAGATAGGATAGCTGCTTATTTCCTTCACATCTGAAGGGAGGGTGTTCCACAGGGTGGGCGCCACTACCAAGAAGGCCCTCTGTCTGGTTCCCTGTAACCTCACTTCTCGCAATGAGGGAACTGCCAGAAGGCCCTCGGCGCTGGATCTCAGTGTCCGGGCTGAACAATGGGGGTGGAGATGCTCCTTCAGGTATACAGGACCGAGGCCGTTTAGGGCTTTAAAGGTCAGCACCAACACTGTGAATTGTGCTCAGAAACGTACCACAATTGCGCCACAATTTCCAGGAACAGGTCCACGCTTAAAAACTCCGTGTCCAAGTGTGTTTTTTTGTTTCCTCCTGGCGTTTTACCTGGGGAAACCTGTGTTTTACTGCTGAATCCAAGCAAATGGCAATCTGTGGCTGTTTGCTCTGATTCAGTGGTAAAACACAGGGTTTTCATGAGGAAAGCGCAGGACAAAAAAATAAAAACTTGGACACTGACTTTACATCCCACCCAGACCTGTGTCTTAAAAAACAGCACAAAAGGCAGTCTGAATGAGCCTTATATGAACATGGAATATTTGCTGCTGCTGCTGCTGCTGCTGCTGCTGCTGCTACAGAAGGCTCAGATAAATGTCCTGAACGGGAGGCAAGCATGGCAAAATCCTTGCATCCACAGGTTGCGGGGGAGGAAATTTTGATGGATGTTATGCAATTAAACTAATTGCAGAGACAATGCACACAAAAGGATCTGATTTGTATCTGGGGGGGGGGGGAACAGGTGGTGCAAAGTGATGAGGGAGACTGCAAGGAGGAGGTTTAGCAATGGCTGCTGGATTTGATTTGTACCCAAATCAGTTGTGTAGCACATTTTTGATGTTAAAGTTGCCTTGAACTACTACAAGACAAGCAGAACTTCAGCAGGGAAAGCTGATTAAGCGTGTAGGTGCAATAGCTGAGAAAGCCTTACTGGATGAATGTCAAACACGTTAGCAAAACACATCAGCTGTCTGCAAGCATCTGAAGGGCTTTCACATGGAAGATGGAGCAAGCTTATTTTCTGCCACTGCAAATGGTAGGAACCCAACCAATATATTCAAGTTACAAGAAAATAGATTCTTACTAAACATCAGGAAGAACGTTCTGACGGAGAGAGCTGTCCAACAGAGCAATGAAGTATCTAAGGAGGTGGTAGACTCAAGGTCAGCCACTTTCCCTATAATTCTAGGGGGTGGAGAGACTACCCTATGAGGAACGGTTGCAGTGTTTGGGACTTTTTAGTTTAGAGGAAAGGTGAGTTGGAGGTGACATGATAAATTGTGGATGACATGGTGAATGTGGATCAAGAAAAATTATTCTCCTTCTCTCATGACACTAGAAATTGTGGAGATCTGATGAAGCTGATTGTCGGAAGATTGTCAGGACAGATGAAAGAAAGGACTTCTTCACACAACAACAACAACAACAACTTCTTATTTATACCCCACCCATCTAGCTGGGTTTCCCCAGCCACTCTGGGCAACTCCCAACAGAATATGAAGAAGAAGAAGAAGAAGAAGAAGAAGAAGAAGAAGAAGAAGAAGAAGAAGAAGAAGAAGAAAGCAAATAATAATAATAATAATAATAATAATAATAATAATAATAATTTATTTATACCCCGCCCATCTGGCTGGGTTTCCCCAGCCATTCTGAGTGGCTAAAACATTGAATATTAAAAACTTCCCTAAACAGGGCTGCCTTCAGCTGTCTTCTAAAAGTCAGATAGTTGTTTATTTCCTTGACATATGATGTGAAGGCGTTCCACAGGGTGGGCACCACCACCGAGAAGGCCCTCTGCCTGGTTCCCTGCAACCTCATTTCATGCAGTGAGGGAACAGCCAGAAGGCCCTTGGAGCTGGACCTCAGTGTCCGGGCTGATCGAAGGGGGTGGAGAGGCTCCTTCAGGTATACTGTGCAGAGGCTGTTTAGTAACCCACTCCCAGAGGAGGTGGCGATGGCCACCAGCTTGGATGGGATTAAAAGAGGGTGACACAAATTCCTGAAGGCAAGGGCTATCAATGGCTACTAGCTGGGATGGCTATGCTCTTCCTTCACAACTGAAGGCAGCAATACTTCTGAATGGCACTAAGGACAAAATAGCGGCTTGTGGCACTCCATAAACATGAAAGCTACTCTTTGGACACAAACCTGGAGGTAGAAACTGAGTTGCTATAGCACAGAGCCACCAATGCCCACTCCACACTGTCAGGAGTGCGTGCAGGAGCCAGGCCCTGTGACTGGTAGGGCCTCGCAGGACTAGGGCCTTCCTGAGTTTGGCCTGGAAGGGCAAGGTGCGGCCGCACAGGTGAGGCTTGACAGAAGACTCGTAGCACCTGGTGGCAATGGCCAGGAGGGGTATATAAGACCAGCATTTCCCTCTGGCTCTTTGCCACAGCAACATGCTACCCACCTAGCTGTGCTTTGGCTTCCTGACTCCTGGTTTCCTGATTCGTGGACTCTTGGCTTCCTGACCCCTGGACTGCTGACCCTGGACTGCAGATTCCTGCATCCCGTCCTCTACCCCGGTCCTGACGTACCAAGCCGGGACTCCAACTGCATGTAACCCGGACAGTGACACACACAAGCAGCCCAGAAGGATACCATGGGCGATAGTATCAAAAGTAGATGAGATATTGAGAAAAAGGAGTAGGTCATACTCCCTTCTCTCTATAAAGGCAATCAAGGCTGATTCACTCCCCCAACCAGAACCCAGACTGGCATGGATTCAGATCATCACTTCCAACCAAGAATGGCTACAGTTGTTCCACCATGACCCTCTGAATCGCCTTCCTAAAAACAGGGATATTTCTGACCAGGTAATAGTAGTTACAATCCATTGGGATGATGTTCTGGGCAGGTACAGGATTGCACTGCAAATCCAACTGAGTACAGTGGTACTTACGTCCTACCAAACATGGAAAGGACAGGGCTGTCAAGCTTATCCCTAGCTCTTGACTTCTACTACAAGACATATACACAGAATTGGACCATTACATCTACCGACAAAGATGGCTTTGCTGGTCCCATGTCATTCCTGATTTAAATGGATTTTCTTGCTGTATGCGTATTAATTTTTCATTGTGCCCTTTTTTACCTGCTGCTAAGGAAACATGCCCTGGAATAGAACCAGAACCAGCTGGTAGGATGCTTCCAAGATATTATGAAAGGTATTTAAATGCATATGGCACGAACAGAAAGGAAATACTGTGGGTCATTTGACTGGGGTAAAATGATAGAGAAATACAAACTTTGTTACTCTATTCTTAACATCCCAGGTAAAACCATGAAAGCATGGGGGAGGGAGCAGGGTAGGAGGAATGGAAAGATCTTCAACACATTTGTGTTCCATGTCAGTCTTGTATGTTTTCATCCACATGTCTGATCCCACCCCTCTTTTCTGTGGACTTTTCTTTTTAAAAAACACAAAAAATGCATTTAAGTGGCACACATTTTGTATGCAGTGTTCCCTAAAACACACATTTTATATGCACCCTCCTGCAAAATACTGTTTTTTACCCGCTTCGCTATGTGTTTCCTTCTAAAATCTGATTTTTTGCATGCATTTCCCCAATAAAATAGACATCTCCATCCATTTTTTAAACTAAAGTTCTCTCACAAATTTAGGAGAAGTGCACAATCTGATTATTAACTGTGTCATGATCCATATATTGGTTGAGGAATCATGTAGCAGGTTGGCTTGCTTTAAAATGTGGACCAAACCAAATTCTCCTTAATCCTTACACTGGCTCCCTTCACATGCCCTGTTCTTCCCACCAGCTTTTTTCAGGTCAAGGGCCACATTTCCTTCTGGACAATATTATGGGAGCCACATCACAAGGGTGGGCAGGTCCAGGTGCAAAATTGAGCAAAGGTTCTCTTTGTTTCAACCTCTTGCATTTGGATGGCTGGAAAGATGACAGTCATACCTGTTGCTCCACCCACTTTTGTCTCTGTCCCCGCCCCCCAGTGCCATGGGGAAGGTTGTCCACAAGGGAGTCCAGTCTTGGGCCTCTCCACCACTAATCTACGTAGCAGAGTCACTTTTGTGGCAGAAAATCAAAGCCCATTTATATTCAAATGAGTCTGAATATTTATCATCAGGTATCCATGACAGGGTGGCGCCGTGGGTTAAACCACAGAACCTAGGACTTGCCGATTAGAAGGTCGGTGGTTCGAATCCCCACGGCAGGGTGAGCTCCCGTTGCTCGGTCCCTGCTCCTGCCAACCTAGCAGTTCGAAAGCACCTCAAAGTGCAAGTAGATAAATAGGTACCTCTCCGGCGGGAAGGTAAACGGTGTTTCCATGCGCTGCTCTGGTTCGCCAGAAGCGGTTTAGTCATGCTGGCCACATGACCCGGAAGCTGTACACCGGCTCCCTCTGCCAATAAAGCGAGATGAGAGCAGCAACCCCAGAGTCGGC